GTACAGACACACACACACTCACACACACAGCAACAACATCACATACCCATACAACACGTTAAAATCCCCTTTCTATCCGATTATGATAATATTCAATTCCGTTTAGTCGTTGTGTCGATTTTCTACTAAATAAACCGTACTCAAGTGAAACTCTTTCTAATTGAATAAGCCAAATTCTATTGCGATAAAATCCCTTCTTTCTCACTACCACCATAACACACACTTTTTCATTTACCTACTTACTTACTTGTTCTCTTGCTCCTTTCATTTATAATATAAAACGTAACCGTAAACGTAACCGTATCCGTATCCCGTATATTTTGAAAGAGCAGATCCAAACCAGAATGAACCAAAATAAAATTAAATGTATTAATCAATGGTGTACTCAAGCATATTTCCCTTAAATTTTGTCTCATGTGTTCTGGATTTTTCCACCAACCAAAAAAAAACCAAACCAAGTTACAACAAAAAATACCGTACTGATAATAATTTTTCTCCTTAACTTGAATAACTTTGTAATTCGAGTATTGTAATTGAACATTTTGAATTGAAAGTATAGTTGAATGTGTAAAATTGTGTATAAACCAATTTTTCCCCCACCTCGGTCTGAATATTTTGTCAATTTTTCATTCGTTTTACGCCTCTATCTCTCTCTTTCTCACACCCTTGACTCTGTATATTTTGGTTTTTTGTTATTTTCCATTATTAATGACTTTTGATTGTAGGAGGTGGTTCAAGAAAAAAAAATGTATTTGCAAAGTTGCGTCTTTCAAAATTACTGTTGATTTCGTTAACGCTGTGATTCATTTGTTAAAAGCAGAAAAAAAAATGTTGTTTGTCCCAGCATGCGATTGTATTTCTGTTGTAGCTTGGCCAAATGGAAGTAAGGAAGTTTAAAAGGAAGAGCATAAAATCCGTATGCGTGATTTTGAAAACATGTTTTCGCGTGTGCCCCTCGGCGACTCGACAACAATTAGTCGGCTCGCAATCAAGCGATGTTTGTGTGCGCGTGAGAGATATACACTGACCAGCTTTGGTGGTAGCCTAGCGCACGGTGGCGCTTACAATTGTCCATAAAATGCTATTTTCCGTCAGATTGGAAGGGGATCAGACGTTAATTGAAAATGAAAACATACACACACACATATATCTACACAGAGGCAATTTGATCATCTCCGGATAAAGAACATTCCGCCGTGACTGAATAAAAGAAAGCCGGAAAATCTGATGCACGTTTATATTCCGTTGGATTCTGTAATGTTGTTAATTCATTGAGCAAACACTACGATCCCAAATAATTTATATTCAGGCGTTTGTCGTCTCTCTCCTTTTTTTCCTTTTTCTTTCGGTGTCGGCAATAAAAAAAAGGAACAGCGAACAGATTATCTTTCAAGTGTGAGCGGCGCGCACGTGGGAAAATAAAAGTGATTTTTTCTACGAATTTGTGCTACGGTGCTTCGTGCTCGGCAATTTGCATTATTCATTTCGTTCGTCGCTCTGCCTGACCAGAAGACAGTTGGATGTCGTAGAGCGCAGCAACAGCTTTATAGCAACAACAACAACCGCGTGTAGCACAAGAGTGAGAAAAAAGCGCATATATTTACGTCGAACCTTTTGAACTTTCGCAAAAAGAGAATAATGAATGTTAAAACATGCGTATGCCTTTGATTGTTTGCTCGCTTTGCGTTTATGTGTGGTGTGTGTGTGTGTGCATTTTGACATTGAAAAGAAAAAAACTTGTCGTTACCAACCACCATCATTGCTGCCGCCACCATCACCGTCGCCGCGCGTGAAATTCTTCATCGCTTCTTGAAATTGTGATGAGACACGAATCAACATTTATCTTTTTATTTCGGTCGACCCCAGCCGAAAATGGCAAAATATGATAAGACCATGGCAAAACATTTCCACAACATTTGATCGACATGATAGCAAATGAGCGCCGCGTGTACAACACAGCAACCACATAAAAAGAGAAACATAGATCGAATGGGAAAAGGACGAGAAAGAGAGAAGTTGAGGTGTTCTTTTTGAGTTCTATTTACCGCAATTACGTGATACTCTCCTCGAGAGAAAAAAAAATGAAGAATGTTCAAGGAACATTTTCATCGTTTTCATCGATAAAATCATCATTATAACGCTCAAGTTGATTCCCACAGTGAGTCTCATTCATTCGTCCTCGTTCTCACTCTTCGTGTTGTCTCCGACGTCGTTTTCGCAAGTTTGGCAAGCCTTTTGCGGATGTGTATGTTTTTTCTTTCGCTGAAGTTCTTCCGTTACATCATTCGTTCATTCATTTCGGAGGGTTTCCATGTCATCTCGTCTTCATTGCAAAACGATTCTAATACACTTTAAATTTCATCTTTATTCTTTCTTCCCTTCTTTTCCCTTTCGCTTGTCATTTCTACGACGTGCTCGATATGCATGTCAACAGATGAAACTCAGAGCAGAGATAAGAAAAACATACAGGCACACACATACAAACCTCAAGTGAACGTACATATACACCAAAAGACATTTATCATATGAAAATAGTCAAAGAGATATTCAACCAACTCAGGCAACTTGCTCAACAGTTTTTTTTTGGTTCAGCTTTGCTTCCTTCAATTCCCACTAGAAAATGAATCAGTTCTTTTTCGCACCGTCGCTTACATTCATCATTGGTTCACATATTTCGTGTGCCATAATACGCTTCAACAGATAACAACAACAACAATACACAAAACGCCTATTCCAATGCCACTCGATCCCATTGAAGCAACAGCTACAGCAGCAGCAGCCGCCGTAGTTACCGAAAGGATGAGAAGATAACACAATTTTATGATGGAAATATCGGCTCACAATTCTTCGTTACACATTTTTTTTCTTGTTGTGCCGTTTTTTGTTGTTGTCATGTTGCTGCGTTCCAATATCTCTTTCTCGACCGAAATGCATACACCACTTACAGAATGGTGAATGATGTCTATCTGATATTTATCTAGTTTAGCTTCTCCTGATCCTGATTACTTATTTACAGCTCATAATCGTTGCTGCTGCTGATGCTGTTGTTGTTGTCGTTGAATATGACTTGGTTTATGTGTGTGTGTGTGTGTGTGTGTGTGTGTCGATTTTTCGCTTCATAACGCCATCACCTCCATATTCACACGCCACCCAAACGTTTAACAAGTGATTATGGCCTCAATAACGACATATTCAGCTTTAGCAAAGTATCATTACAAGTACTACTTGACATCCGCCCTTCGTCCTTTTTTCGCTTTGTCATTCCAAACTCATTCGCTGCTTCGTTTCTTCTCTTTCGTCCCCCATTGCTGTCGATACGACGCTTTACATTTTCAGTTCGAAGGTGATTTTCATCAATTTTGTTCGCACACCGACGAAGCGAAATTTTGAATTCATGAGAAGAAACCCCATTTTTGTCCTCTCCGCACATTGTTTTTTTGTTCGCTATTTAATGTCGATGTCGAATCGATGTTGATCGCATTTATAGTGTATTTCCCTCAAGCAGCACGTACTCGAGTATCTAGAGTCGAGAGTATCAAGAGTTGGTAGTTGGTTTGGTATAAGTGAACGCGCGAGCACAAGCCCGCGCGAGACACCATTGGACGTGCGATTCAAAGTTGGAGTTCAGTTGGGCGCGTGTATGTGTAAATAATTTGTAAATATGTATCAAATCAATTCCGTAGATTTGATGGCGCCGAGCTGTGCTCGTGCATTTTGAATGCGAGTCAAAAAGGAAAAGAAACTTCGAATTGACTTTCTCCGCTTTTGCCTATGTCTCAAGCTGAGAATATGTCGCTTTGCCGAAGGGAAATTTCGTTTGACCCACCACCATCATCATCGGATCAACAAATCGCTTGCTTTTTATCTCGAATTTCTGGTTCCGTTTTCCATCCTTGAATGGAGCGATTGAAAGAAATGTGCGCTGGTTTTTTCCGTCTGTTATTGTTGTTGCCGTCGGCTGGCCTGAATCGAAATGTGAATATTATTTAAATGGCAGCAATCTATAATAATAAATCGTTTGCAAGGTGTTTGTGTGTATGTGCTTGTGCACACAATTTTTGTGCATGGTGAATTGCGTTCCGACAACTGACGGACGATTCCCCAAACACTGGCGTGTATATACACACACATACACCAGTTGTGACAAATCGTGTCTCATTTTGAAGTAATGTCGCATTGCTTGTTCATCGTGCAGAAAAATGTATGAAAGAAAGCGGAAAAAAGTAACCATCCAGCCACCAAACCAACTGGATTGCAAATATCAAATTTGCTGGATTTATTGCTACTTTTACTCTATGGTTTTTTCTTCATTTTTCTCAAAACATTTGATTGCGTTACCCTGCAAAATGCGGCAGCATTTATGACCACGTATTTATTTTAACTAGTTTTGTCATTTGCCATTCATTTATCTTTCAGTGAATGTAGCTACGATTCAACGATTCTCTTTCTTTTCAGTGTGTATATATGTACATTATGCATGCACTGCCCTCTCTTTTAATCTAGCTAACCGAGTTTCATTTTTTTTAAGTACCGAACTTCCATTTTTTCTTCTGTTTGCATCAATTTTTGAGCTTGTTGTACAGTGCATGTTTTTTCTCCGTTTTTGGCTTGAACTTTTTCGCTTTGGCTTCACAAAATTTCCAGTGCATTATATCCCATTTGTCTCTATATCTATTTATTTAGTGATTCGTAGCTCATGATATGGCAACCACCATGTGGTGGCATACCAAACAAAAAACCTCATTTTCTTCCACCATCAAGAAAAAATCAAATAAAACGTTTTCTTTTTTGTGTTTTTTTTTTCTTGGTAGAAATATTTTTTGAGAAACACCAACAGCCAAATGGTTGTCGTAAATTTAACGATCTCATCATCGTGTCGTTTTGTATTTTGATTGTTTTTGTTTGCATATTTCTCTCATTTTTTTTTGTCTCTTTCTTCATCGAGTGCAAATTTTTCCTCGATTATTTTGCAATTGAAACATTTGCCTCTTTTTCGACAGCATTTCATATTACTATGAGTTTTCAAAGGAACAAGACTATATTTGTTCGAAGCCAGCGGATTCCGGTATGCATATGTGCTCCGATTTGCCACCGTATCGCATTGGACCAATGATCTGCAACGGTAAGTGTATGCGATAATTGTTTGTCGAACATACGAAAATTGCAATTCACCAGAGACACATTACTCGGGGCTGGGAAAGTTTGTTTTTTTTTCAGTGGGTTCTACCCACTCTCACCAACCATAGCAACCGTTTTTGGTCGAGTTGGTAACAACAGAATCAGCATCAGATGAACTCAACTGAAATCAAATTGCCGTTAATTCAGTTCGCTTTCAAGGTTTATTCGTTCGAATCAATTTACGTTTCTTTTTCTGTTTGTGTGCTCTCTTTTTGCTGCCCCAATGCTCTGGCTGTCTCTCACCGGGCTTAAATTGAAATACCGATTGCATGGGAAAACAATAACGAAAAAAAAAACCGAATCGGAAACGCTGTAAAAATCCAATTGGAACATTCGAAACACACTCGCTCACTGAACCCAACCACCCAACCCAACAACAACAACAACAACAGCATCAGCCGAAGCATACTCGTACAATTATCCGACGAATTCATCGTGCGTCAATTGGAATCAATACTACACAAATTGCACGCAGCTAGGCGGTAATCCGTTTCAGGGAACCATTTCGTTCGATAACATTGGCATGGCATGGGTCGCGATATTTTTAGTTATCTCATTGGAAGGATGGACTGATATCATGTAACGTGTTTTTCTTTTTCTTCGTTTTTACCCTCGTCTTCTTCATTTTCTTCTTTTTTATTTTCGCTTGAAGATATTCGATTGTGACACAGAAAACATGTAATCACTTATACTTACAGGTACTACGTGCAAGATGCTCACAGCTTCTGGGATTGGATCTATTTCGTTTTATTAATAGTGGTAAATGGCTTATGTCTATTGTGCGGTATGTGAGTGTGTGTGTGTGTTTGTCAGTTGTACATGCGAGAGAGCGAGCTCCTAGTTGGAAGTCGACAGCAAAATGTTGTACAATGTGAACTTTTGTTCATCCATTTCATCTGCTTTTTTATCCTTTCGGGCTTGTGTACGCTTGAAAGTACTTTAGTTCGAGTTGACAACAGTAAGATAAAAACGAAAATTGAGATTGGGTATGCGTGTGCGTCTGTATGTGTTTGCGTGTGTCTGATTGTGAAAATGTTTTGATTGCATGTATAATAATCGTTATCATAATCGTTGAACGTTTTGGTAATAATATGTGATGCTTTGTACGCGACGCTCTATGCCACTCTCTATCTCTCTCTCTCTCTCTCTCTCTCACATTTCGTATCATTTCATCTTATTTGATTACAGATTGGATCGTTTTTTATGATAAATCTATGTCTCGTTGTCATCGCCACTCAATTCTCTGAAACGAAAAAACGTGAAATGGAGCGTATGCGACAGGAGCGAGCTCGTTACACATCCACATCAACAATCACATCGAGCACGAACAATTCGGAGCCGTCAACATGCTATGCGGAAATCGTAAAATACATTGCACATTTGTGGCGCCGACTAAAACGACGACTAATTAAGAAGTTACGAACGTATAAGTATGAATAATTAAATTAAAAACCGAACATTAGACTCTAGCATTGCATGAAAATATACTTTAGGAGATTTCATATGACTCTTCGGCTTTTTCTTCACGAACGACAGTACACAACAGACGAACGATGGTTGCGAGTTGCAAATAACATCCAGCGATAATAATAGGCACGAACACACATTAAGTGAATATCATGTAGTATATACTGATATATTCTGAATTTTTCTTCCCGCCGCCCGATAAATTTGTGCGATAATATTAGCGTTACCTTGGTACGCTATCAAGCCGATCTATCTCACATGCTCTTAATAAACATACGGTAAAGCTGATTAGTTTGAGATATTTATGTTTCGGCTGTTAACGCTTTTACCCACTCGCATTCGCACTCGCTCAAGCGATATGCACTTATACACACCAATTTTATGGAAGTAATTTTGCGTCTGTCAGTCCCATTAAGCTGTTCATTGCAATCATTTAATCGAGCTGTCAAAAATGAGTTTCCTATAGTAAATCTTCATGAACTTTTTGTTTTCAGTCTTAATTGGATCCAATTTAGTTTCCTTTCTCCCTCATATGTGAATCACGACGATTTCGATATGTTCTTTTCTTTTCCTTTCCTTTCCGATGTTTTTTTTGTCTTCCATCCACGCACACACTTAAATTACAGGTATAGAAATCAAGATGAAGATCTGCTGCCAAATGCCGACACATTCACATTATCGCCACACCGAATCAAATGTCATCATCCAAATTGTCCGAAAGTAAATCAGAATACGCCCACGATGGATGGCAGCGGCGGCGGTGGCGTTGCAAAGCGTCTTAAATCACAAATGGCCGACACGAATAGCATATCCGGAACAATAGTCATACAAAATAATTGCAATAACAGCCAATTATCGTCACCGGATATGTCAGAAGCGAACGAAATGCATAGGTACTCGACAAGCTCGGCAAATCTAGCGACGGCCAACAGCAGAAATGACGACAAAGACGATAAGCACAAGTCGAGCTTGTTAAAAATTCCGGGCGTCATTAAAACGGAACAGCAATCGGTAGGAATTCATTTCGTTTTTTTTTTGTTCTCTCTCTTCGCTTCAATCTCATCCGCGCTTTCTCACGCTCCAAATCATTTGATGTCCCAACCGCAAAATTATTATACTCTTTCCATCGTTCAAACGCACATTCACAATGGCATTTTTTTTCTCTGTGTTTATTTTTATACCCGTTGGAGCAGCAAAGCACAAACGGATCTGGCGAGTATTTAAGCCCACCATCATCAGCGCGCCGTAGATCGTCGGTAATTTTCAATGAGTTCATATTTTTACATACGCCACCGAATGAAGCACAATCGAATAAAAATATTTCCCAGGTGGAGAAAACTACACAAGCCGGTGATGGGAATATTTGGAAGGTAACGAATAAAAATAAAAATGAGCGAAAAAAAACAAAGCAAAAACCGCACAAAACAATTTTCAATTTACCCGCACATTTCCACAGTCCTGTTAAATATATACTCTAGTACATACTCTCGACATACTCTCCAAATATAAATGTCAAACCGTTGCGTACGCGCGTCTCAATGAATTTTTAATTTAATCAGCTTAAAAAGTTTGCACGGCACAGAAAGAGAGAGAGAGAGAGAGAGAGAGAGAGAGAGAAAGAAAGTGAAAGAGAGTAAAAAAAGAAGTTCCACTTTTTATTGTTCCATTCCAATAATAATTTGTTGCGTTCATTTTTATTTGTTGTGTGTGTGCTGACGAAATTTTTTTTTTATTGTAATTGGTTTCGTTTGTTCGCTTCTTTTTTTCCCCCGTGCACTTCTTTCTTCATTCAACGAATATTCCATGTGTGGTTCCGGGACACTTCGTTCGATTTTGTTTCGTGGTTCGGCCCGTGCAGGTGAACTTAGGTCATAATTTGTATTCGCACACGATGAACAACATTCTAACGGATTGTTCAGACCTCAATTTCAATGATACGATGACATGTCAAGAATTGTTAGCGTTTTCGGTGGCATTTTCGGCCGCATTGCCAACCAACCAAAACACTTTAGAGTCCTTATACTCGTCGTTAGCACATCACGATTCACAGCAGCCGAAGAATGACAGCCAAAATGCCGACCAAATGCAAAAAAATGGCAATTCGGATAGAATAAATCGTCAAGCATCAACCGTAGCGGCAACAACACCATCAGCCGTGGCAGCCACATCAACGACCGCACCGCCAAATGGTTTGGAAAACTTTTCCTGTTGCTATCATTTATATCAAAATTCGGCCCATGTCGAAGCGCTCATGTCATCGCATCGTAAGCCAAATAAATATGTGGCACCAATTGTGGCCGGCTGGAGACTATTTTCCAAATTGATGACCTACATGCGACGGTGCATCAAACGACTGGTCGATCATAAATACTTTCAACAGGGAATTCTATTAGCGATTTTAATAAACACACTGTCAATGGGCATCGAATATCATGATCAGCCAGAGGAGCTAACAGCCATCGTGGAAACGAGTAATATCGTCTTTTCGGGCATTTTCGCCGTTGAAATGATGCTCAAAGTGATTGCCGAGGGTCCGTTCCGCTACATTGCCAATGGATTCAATGTTTTTGATGGTGTTATTGTTATATTAAGGTAACGAAACGAGACACATACACAAAAACACATACATTTTCTGCTTTTTTATTTTATATTCGACCCCCTTAGCGCATTTTCGCTTCGGTGAACGGTGTAGGAGCGCGAGTGGATTGCGTTTTGTTTTCATTGTTCATATTATATGTTATACCAGATTCAAAGCTTATTTTCGGGTGTTTGTGTTTTGCTTCGTTTGGTTCAAATTTCTTCATTTTTTTTCTTCGTCTCCGTTTTTGTTGTCGCTGCTGCTATTGTACGGTGTCTCCGTACAAATTTGCAATATATTCATGTGTGTGCGACGAAACGCATGAAAATAAGCAGCTCATTAATATTTCATTCATCCACTCGACTCTTCCATTGTTGTGTCAATCCATCAAAATATAACTTTTAGTACTTCCTTACAATTCACGTTTTCCATATTTCTCATCCTTTCAATTCGCTCTTTTCTTTTCTCTTCTCTTCACGTATTTTTTTTCCTTCGTCTGCATGTGAATACTCACTTGTCGCTGATTTCGCCAACGTTTTTCACATCGCCACGGTGTGTAATGTGATGTTACGGGAAAATGGAATGGATACATACAAAAATCGGTCTCACGCGCGCTCTTCTGCTCCTCTTTCTCCTGTTTACACTGTGCGATAACACACATACACAATCATACACCGACGACACAGTGTATTCGAATTAGGTCAACAATTCTTCGGCATTAGCGAAGGCAGCTCGGGATTAAGTGTTTTACGTACGTTTCGACTGTTGCGAATCCTGAAATTGGTGAGGTTCATGCCAAATTTAAGACGCCAACTATTCGTCATGTTACGCACAATGGACAATGTTGCAATATTTTTCTCGTTACTCATTCTGTTTATATTTATATTTAGGTAAGTGGAAATTGAAATTCGAGTTTGTTATTTCTTTTGCTATATATATTTTGCTCTGCGAAGCACCTTGTATTTGTATAACTTGTATTGTCTCCATATGGTGCCTTTTGTGTGATTCGAAAGCTAAAAGAAAATTGCTGGGAAGGAACCCGCAGCTAGAGAAATTTCCAAGACAAACGACAATGGCAGGATAGAAATTCAGTTTTAGTTATACATGTGTAGAGAAATACAGCCGACTCTCTGTCCCACACTCACTCTCACTCTATATATTGCTCTCGCTCTCTCTCTCTATCTCTTTCGCTCCCCCCATTCCTTTCGTTAGGATTGTAGAGACAGAATCAAAACATATAATATAGCGACCAATTTGTAAAACGATGTGTGATATAGAACATATTGTTATAGAAGAATTGTTCCTTTTGTTAGTTCCACATCCTCATTCTCGTCCTTTTAGATAGTAGGTCTTCCTTTCGATTCATATCCGTCTTGAGTCTGTGTTCTGAGACGTTCACTTGCACTCATTCAACCACTCTCACACTCACACACCCACTATCAATGTTCCGCCAAAGAGAACATTTCCATCGCAGATAAAAGGCAAACAAAAACGAAACTCGCTCCCGTTTCAGCGAATTTTCATTATAGTCACGTTCCTTGTGTCCTATAGCACTCAACTCTATCACTTGATCAATATTATATCTAAATTTTATAGTTATATATTTTGACCTTCGCCCCAGCAACAACAACACATACAACCATTACACTTTCAATTGATTCCTTTTCATTTTAATCTCTTTCGCTCATCTAGCTTCATTTCTGTTTTATTTCTTTTGCCATTTTTGATTTGATTCTCCTTGAACTGCTTTTTATTTTCCTCTCTGTTACACATTCTGTCACGAATTCGCCTCAGCTCTTTTCAAAAATCGCTGTGCGCATTGAAGGTTCAACCAACTAGAATAGGTAGAAATAATAATGTTTTGCCATTTTAGATAGCCAACTGATGCCATTCTGTGTATTGCATTGTTGAAATTAATTCTATGTGTTTTTTCTTCTTCTTAAATTTTAACCGTCGACATTGAGCTAAGTAAAACTGTCAGCTGTCCTCAGAATACGTTAGCATAATGTGTCTATTTTTTTGTTCTTCTGTTCTTTGCGTCCCTTCTTCTTCTCCTCATTTCTTTCTCAAGCCCTTGTTTTTTGTTTGAGAAGAACAAGGAGAAACCCGAATAACATTTCAATTTGATGTAATTGAAATAAATAAGGGCCTGTCTCTCAAAGATCCTCTTAGCTAGTACTCTTCATATCTCTCAATAATAAGCTACTTAATTTGATGTGGAAAATTGAATTGGTAAATTTCAATTTAGAAAGCGTTTGAGATGTCTCTGTGTGATTCGACTTTGGAGTACGATTAACCAATTCAAAAAAAAAACGAAAACTTTAAGACGTTTCAAGGAATGATCATTTTATTGTAGCATTTTTCGTGTTCCGTCCGTTTTCTTCTAGCTTTTCATTTTTGTTGAATGTCGTAAAATGAGAAAAGACTCGTTCATACATCACGTTCGCCGTTTCTCATGATAGAAGTCTAAAAGATGACAAATACCGAGAGAGTAAATCGTTGTAGCGAAATTGAATATTTCTGTTTCTTTCATTCACGGTAAATAAAACGAGTAGAAAAAATATAAGGGATTCACTTGAAACTACAATGGCATTGTTGTCGTGCAATCTGTTCAAAAAATTCTGAGCTGCAGCAAAAGAACATAAAAGAGAATCTCCCTCTCGCCGAGAGTATGTGTACGAAGTTGGAATATAAATTGCAGGGAAATAGACATTTTTGCCAATTTCAGCCAAGTCAAAAACTGTTCATTTCGCGAAAAATCGAAAGACGAAGAAGAAAACACTACAGATTAAAGCGGCTATTTTTAAGATTAAAAATCGTGTTGGCATTTTGCCGATGTTCGCTTTCAGTCCCGTTAAAAAATTGAACATTTAATTGCATGTAACAGTTTCTTTTCTTCCCCTTCACCGCCCTTCCTTCATCGCCTTCGACCAAGCAAAGTACCCAAACAGGTAGACAGTTACTACTTCATCTTCCCTGCATGATAACATACTCTATATATGAACTTGCAACAACAATCAACCCAGAGTAAAAACCCTTCACTTTTCATAATGTCAAACCAAGTGGTGTAATCCAATTTGAAAGTCGCACTCGTGCACGGTTGCACACATACACACACACACAACGGATACATTGTTATTTTAAATTCGTATTTGTTATATTTTTCTGTGTTGAGTCGCTGTAACATCGCCGCGTTTTCAACTTTCACCATTTTTTAATCATGCTAGATTCCCGAATGAATGCAAGTAGCAACAGTGTGCTTCCCTCGGTTCCCTTTGCATTGCAAAGTTTGCAATTTATATACACGTTATAAAACATCCAACCAACTATAAAAATAATATATATTGTCTCTTTTCGTTTAATATCATTCATTCATTTTTTTTCTGTTCGAATAACTTGCTGAATGAATTTTCTTTCCATCATGAATCGAATACGCAGTACAAAGTAAAGTTTGATAAACGTACCGAAAATACAAGCGTATGAAGCGTAATATTTCAAGTTTGATGCAATTATAAATATTTGATTTTCAGTAAAAGATTTTATTATTATTACATTTTGTTTGCCAAACGAACGAACGAACGACAACTTTTTTTTATGACAATTCATCTCTTTTTGTCCTTCTCCAACCACCTAACATTTGAAATTTGTTACTCTGAGCGCCACAAAACTTTTCGCAATTGTATAACCGCATATACTGGAGTGAATGAATGCCCTGTTGTGCGCACAGATAAACCCGAAATAAAAACAGAATTGAAGAACATACATACAAATAAAAACAAAAGCACGAGCAAAAGTCATAAATAATCATTTTTATAAAAAACAATAGTATACTGGGAATGAACCTGTTCGGATGCAAATTTTGTGACAAAGCCGACGGTGATGATTATACGGAATGCGATCGAAAAAATTTCGACACATTGTTATGGGCATTGGTTACGGTATTTACCTCTTTATTCACATTAGGCACACTGAATGGTTGGGTTTGATATTTAGCAGCCACAGCTCGTCTGATCGAACAATTCAAATGATTTTATCTATTGAAACAAAGTCAAATACCACCAAACAGACAATTTGGTCGTACGTAATTTTGTTAATAAAATCATTTCAATCGGTTTCTAAGGCGATTTAGCTAATAGATTTCAAATGTTACCATACAGTGCCTGTATTTAAATCATAATATTCTAACCAATGATGCCTTTTGGCACCCCCTGTGACCTCGTTCCTTTTACTTGCGACTAAGCTCACTTCGGTTGAGCTGATTCACATGAAAGGGAGATTTGGTTTGGCGAGGGCGCAAAAAAGCATCACCGATTATACCATATAATAATAATCTCATATTTTTTGCTATTACGATCCCTGGCTACGGTATTTATTATGGTCCCTGGTTTATGGTATTCCAGGTTTTTCAGGTCTGTATTCAGACACATTTTCAGTTGAACATACAAAAGTTAAATAATTTTTTAAAACACTGATACACCACATACACACACACACACACACACACACACACCACACAATCATATATAATGACGAGAACATAAAATGACTGAGATTAATTAAAACTCAGCTAAAATTGGCGAACATATGTCTCCCATAAAGCATGTTACATGTAACAATTCCATCAGATTATGACATACTACGTTTGCAGATTTAGAGCTCTATTTATTTTTAGTCCTATCCATTTTCATTTCAAAAACATTTCACTTTTCAACACAATACACAATAACAAATCCAGTGCTTTTCATTTGAAAAGTGTAATACTTTGAATCAATCGAATTGTAACTTCTCTTTTCAATTCGATGCCAATGTTTGTTTCCCATTCGGTTGGAAGTTTGAACTTTTTCATGTTCCGGAAAATTCCAAACTCGTGAAGTGACCACTTTAAACGCACCTTTAGTTGGTTTGTTGTGCCAGGTTTTTGTGCGAGGTTTATTTTGCCATTTGTACTGTACGTACATGTGTACTACTTCATATTATGTAGGCAATAACTATAGTTTGGTTCTCTTTGCAGAGCTTTTTCAAAATTTGGAACAAAACGGAACGTTTTTTCTGTCAGATTTTCAATTTTAGTGCCCAAATCCTTGATCAAATAGCAAGCGTTCGTCGCAATATTTTCATGATTGCACCCACGTGATATTTCAAGCCGTAATTTTTCACAATATGTTATTACAAACTCCATCAGAATGGTAAAGTAATTCATTTTCGATATTCCAAGCATTTTCATAGCAAATAAAACTGCAGACAAACGTCCATATCATTGCCAAAAGTAATAAATTCGGTGTATTTTCCTGGATGTTCCTCTCTCGCAGTAAACTATGCAAGTTCATGTGTATTTGGTGAAGCGGAATTCCTGTTTTTGAAGAACACATTTTTGATGCTATATCAAAACAATTCTCGTGTGAAGCAATTCCACCATCCATAAATCCACATTTTGACATATTTGTGTGACATTTGCCAACAAAATTGTTGGCATTGTAGTTTGTGTTCAGGACCTGAAATTCAGGTGAATATGAAACCGAATAATTTTCTAAAGTGCAGACGTACAAAACACAGCAACAAAACTTAAGAACAAAACATCAAGCACCAATCATACACACAGACGATATAAAATGGCAGAGATTAATTGAAACTCCGGAAACATTGGCAAAAGCTCATTTCTCTTACACACAGCCAGCATGTTACATGTAACAACTTCATCAGACTATAACATGAAGACAATCGATTTAGATTTCTTTTCAATTGGTTTTATTCCATCCATTTTCATGAGAAAAGAGAACATTCAATACATTCCATCAATATACAATATCAAGCATATACAAGTACATATTCCATTCAAATCCAATCGCATTCCAAATCAAATCTATACCAATTACAACGACACACAAACCGATGATAACGTAAAATAAAACAGAACCAAACCCCATCGAAATCACTCTGTGAATTAATTAGCTCTCGGCTGTAAGGCAAAACGAAACAAACTTTTCCCATTAACTAACTTCATTTCAAACAATATTTTACATAAATTCATAATCTGCTAACCATAAACTAATTGAATGAATGACTATACTCTATTGACTAATGGAATCATAAATGTAACACTCAAGTGAAATTGACTCGACTTTTTTTTTCATTCCTCTTTAGACTTTTTTAATATATTACACAGAGAGAAATCCAACATGGTTTCACCAATACAAAAACATAATTTTGGCATTTTACAACAGTATTTGTGAAAATCGCAACAAATGTTTGGCTGTCAATATAGTACGAATTTGGGTGCGTTCCATACAAATACTAATCTGAACATTTGTTGTGATTTTCACAAATACTGTTGCGTTTTGACACTTTCCAATGTTCTGTGGTGTTGAACGTAGCCTCATTTTTCTCTGTGTAAATGTCCGTATTTGTTCTGTTTCGTAACCAACAAACAAAATATAGAGATAAAAAATTGTTCTGTCGGTCTAATTAATGCCAACGTGCTGTTGTTACTCATACGTAAACAAATTGTTGGAATAGTATGCATAGTGGCTTTTTCCATATAATATTTTCTCTCTGCAATGAACTCTGTGATTGGGAGTAATAAATCTAGTTTAGATATGTGACTCAAATGGTTTCAATGGTGATAAAATCGGCAATTGCATAGAGTGTGGACATTTTTGATATGACGATGATGATGGCATCGGTTCATTTGTTTTGTGTTGATTTCAATTGTCAATATTTGTCACCCGAAAACATTGCATTGTCGCACACACAGTTGAACGCATTTCAGCATGTGTCCAATCAATTATTTGATTTTAGATTCTTTCAAGTAAAATAAGGTAGGTTTTAGAGTTGGCATGCCCATTCTGTTTCTTTTCCAATAATCTCGTGCTTAATAGCAATTTATGGCGCAATTTATTTAAGCAAATCCCTAGACAGTTGTTAGTTCTCATTTTTTATCATTCAACATTTTCTGCACACATTTCGAATTTTTGGAAATCACTGAAAAATCGCATGAAAAAAAAATCAATTCAAAATCTGGTACAGCGATTTATGGCTTTGAATCGATATGGTTGCCGAAATTCTCCTCAACAATTTTCCACTTCCATTGGAATCCGAGAACTACCATGAATAGATTTTGTTGGTATGCCGAACACAATGGTTGTGCCAATTAGGAGTGTGTCTGAATTTATGGGAGAAATGCTTGATCGATGTACCAGATCCCTCGATTTTGAATCGAATTCAATTTGTTCGGCATGACCTATTTCCTATTTCTTGCACACACACACACACAATTGCATTTTGTCGACCGGGACTTAGATTGCATTAGAACGCAACCACAAAATGATTTCAATGAAGACTTACGCTTGAGCTAGAATTAGATTGTCAAATTACTATTTGCTACTGCAAACGAGCAACAACAACAACAAAAAACTAAAACCTTCAGCCAAGCAAAATGTCCTTTCCATCTATATTTTCCATTTATTCGATTTCTATATATCTGTTTCTTCATCCAGAAAATCAATCTCATTCATGGAAAATTGCATTCAGTTAGTTGCTTTTTCTCATTCTTTTTCCCGCTTTCGGAAGATTTAGTGCTTATGCTGAAATTGAAACAGCTCTATTCTTAGACTGCACCGGAGAATGCAAATTGAGCCATGAATCAGTTCACGTGCCTGTACAATTGAGCATGGGCACTAAAACTTCTTATTCCCACCTTTTTTCTCTCTGTCTCTTCCTGACACACAATCTCATTTCGTTTGTTTGTTCGACTTCACACTGCGATATTTACTCCTTTTTTTCCACAAATATTTCCGCTTATATTTTCCGCAATAGATATAACAAAATAAGTTAAGCATCAACCATCCATCGTTTTACACGTATTTTTCTATCAGAACAAAAAAAAATCTGCATAATTAACCTAATTAGGGCACACATTTCAAGGACAAAGGATTCAGAAATGACAGCGTCTCGTTTTTTTTCGTTCTGATCTGTAATATTTCCCCTTGAAGAGGAATTTGAACAATAAAATTAAATTAATTAGCAACAATTACCATTTATACGCAGATAATAGTGATATAACCATTCTGTAAAGAGTCAGACTTAACTAGACCAACAAAATAGCGAACCACATGAAAACCATTCGTATTGCAGTTATTTATTTTTTTCGTTTTTTTTTCGTTTTTTTTTGTTTTCCAATATGATAACTCTTTTTTTTCAATATAGCATAAATATTATTGTTTATTTTATACTTAATGTAATAACCGCGTTTTAATTATATATCAAAACAAAATCAAAAAAAAATTTAATTGATACATATATCTATATATAAACTATATATGTGTATATATAACAGCATACTTGGCATGTACCTATTCGGTGGTAAGTTTTGTAAATTTACGGATGAAACCAGTGGGCAAGAAAGAGAATGCACTTGCCCCGAAATAATAAGCCAACATCCACTTTGCGAATGCGATCGAAAACATTTTAACAACATTTTATGGTCAACTGTAAGTAAAAGCATTTTTACACCATCTCTATGTTCATAAAACAATGTACTATCTGTACGGTTTTTCACTCGACAGAGTGGAAGATCAATGTGAGCGCGTTTTGTATCTCTCTCTCAGACACACACACAGATTTATTTATGCGTTTTTTTTTCTTCCGTTTTTTCCATGTTCCAGGTAACAGTTTTCCAAGTAAGCATTTAAATCATCCACTTCTACTTCACTCTCTATCTTTCACATAAATTATTTGGTTTTTTATCAATTTTTGCTTCTGTTTTTGTTTTAATTTCGAATTACAAACTAACCGAACAACAACAACAAAAATAGAAAGGAAATAAATAACTTGAAACAGTGCAATTTATAAGTTGTGAAAAAATGTGAATTCGAAAACGGCAGAAAAATAATATTTGTGCTGCATATAAATGTTGGGTAATGAAAAATTCATGTGGTGAACGAGCGTTGCATGATAAAGGACGGCGTGTCTGTGTGTTTGAATGAAAATTCGATGTATTTTTTAATCACTTATCACGACCTCCTTTTTTCGCGATTGACAATCGCTCAATGGTGCTCGCGACGACCATGTTTCTTTTTTTTACTCTCTTTGTCACTGTCTCCAAACATTGGCCATTTGGTTTTTAATTTCACATTTTAATTTGGCTGCTGTCGTTTAATGAATTGCATTGAATTAATCATTGCGTGTGCAACGATGATAGCACACAGATCATGCAACGGCTTCGATTACATGAATAATTGCCCATTCCTCAAATTGACTGTAATCTCTCTCTCTCTCTCTCTCTCTCTCTCTCTCTCTCTCTCTCT